TTCAGTTGATGACTTGTTATTAGGTGACTGAGAACGTAAATTAATTCCCGCGAGATCGTCATGTCGGTACAAAAGATTCGCAACTGCAATGAAGTGTTCCAGGCATTAATTTCAAAAATACAGGTATCTGCAACGTAATCATTCTTGTTAATAAACAATGTAATGTTAATACTTATATTTTTAGTTTTTCTGCCATTATTTCAGGCATGATAGAGTTCTATCTTTGTTAATTGTGTAGCAATTTTAATTTTGCAGAGATAAAGTGATACTTCGACAAATGAAAAAATGTTGTTGGTTTGAAATTACGCACAAAAAGGGGGCAATTTACATTAAACGAGATGGAACTGGTATTTCATTAACAAATGAAACTAGTGGTGCTACAGCAGCACGTACTTTCTCGACCGTACTTTCATGCAAAATTACGCGGAAAGTACTAAATTTCGAAAATTGTACAAGACCTTATTTCAAAATCTATCTTTAGGGAACAGATTTCATTAAGGGGAAATTCTCGATCTCCATAATTGTAGTTTTAGGAAGACGCCGAAAACATTTTGAACTTTTGAAATTTTCAAAAAATTAGAGTTTCTTAACGGACATGAAACCCGCACCATTCTCTTAAATGTTCTTCACACTATCCAACAATAAAAATTAATCAAAAACGATGGAGCCATTTTCTTGAAAATTATGAAAATGTCTCAAGGACATCATATTAAGCGCCTCCTCATATTAAAGGTTTCAGATTCAAGGGGCCGATCCGGTAACCGGGGCCCCTGAACCCCGGGAAGATGCCTCCTGCCGCCCGACCGCCGCGCTGATGGTCAATGGACCGAAGTGGAGCGCCAACTGCCGCTCACTGACCACTTCCAGACGCTGAGGAGCAGGGCTGCCGCTCCCGCGAGTCGGGTCATGACCGCTCGGAAAGACACTGCCCGGCGGCCAAAGATGAACTCTGGCCAGTACGACCGTTTAAGATAAGATTAGTTTTAAGATTAATTTTAGCATGATGCTTCACCTCGATCACAAAAACGAGTCATTAAAATAATTTCCAAACTATGAAACTGCGTTTGAATGTTGTGGTAGCATTTGAATTCGCCCCATCACGCATGCCTCCCTCTAGGTAGTCTACCGACGGAGCAACTGGGGCAGCGCTGAATGGGAGAAAAATCAGATAATCAGGTGAGTCGAGGTAACCACGCGGAGTAGTGGATACAATATATTCAGTTTTTGCACCGAATGTTCATAGTTTGTAATGCGTTTTACACAAATATGATGACTGAGATGTGTTAATTAGGAGAGAAATTATGGTATAAATAGAATTATACTGCGATTTATCCAACTCTGCTTCTGGCAGGTATCAGCTGTTGACGGTTTCATCCAATCGAGAGCTTGAACGTCACCATAGTGACGTCACTACGGTGACGATCAAACTCCTGATTGGATTGAGTGCACGTTACTGTTACTAAGGGAGAGGAAGTATGTGCTGTTTTAGCAATACTAGTTAAAATACTGCCATTAAAAAATCTTTGTTCTCATAAAAATTAATATGAGTAATGCCCTTCACAAACTACTTCCCATGCCGCCTTGTAATAATGAGAATTCTAGTTTTCTGATCTCGTGTGTTGCAGCTTATCAAGATAACCATTGTAATTGCACGGAAGCAAAACAAATTTAAATTTGTTGAAAAAATAAAGAAGGCTGCTAACTGACTGTTTTCCATTGAAGAATGAAAGGGGTTTCACGCAAACTGACGATTATACTACATATCATAGACGCACAAAGGATTTTCTCGGGAATGGGGGAACGGGAGAGGTATATCAACCTGCTGACGTGATGTTTTTTTTTATTTAAACCCTGAGTTGCCGACATGGGAATTCAGTCACACTGGTACCGACAAGTGGTACCACGAGTCTCTTGGATTCAAAAAATTTTGATTCAAATATTAGTTTGAATTCGTATTTCGTTTAAGATATTGAAATTTACGATAAATTATCACAAAAGAAAGTATAAATCTTATTTGTTAATAATATCACGTGATTAGTAATGACGGAGTAAAATTATACACATATTTAATTTAACGTATTTATCTTTATAATCAAAATTTTTTGAACATTAAAAACAGATAAATGAAACCTACTATAACTTTAAAACCTAAAATCAAATACTAAAATGTTACTACTGCAAACCCAAAGCTCTGACACTACTTTCTTTAGGCGTCTTTTTCTGCACTAATCCCCCTTTCGTAATAGTATTTTGCAGTTTAAGTTTCACTTCGTCGGGTTGTTCTTTTTCAAGAAATTCATATTTATTATCGTCTTCTTCCCCAAAAATCGTAACACGATTGTCCGCTTGATGTGTCATAGTCACTCTCACTACAAAATTTGATGATTCAAAAATGCACTCTCACAATAAGCTCATTTGCTCCGCCCATTGCACAATATTTTCTTCAAAATCATGAAAATTAATATTCGCACATTCTCTTATCATTTAATACATTGCACTTTATTGAGAAGCGCCACAGAACAAACTGTACTATCCGGCAAAGTGCGATACTGTGAAAGGTATACCGCTACTGACGTGCAGACCCTAGTTTCCCAGCAAAGTCTCATTATTTCTTGAAAAGCATTCTCCAACAAAGCTCGTGAACTATTACATAAAACAGTAGAAAAAGAAAGTACAAGACAAATCGAGGTTTAAAAAAATCATCAATGCAGATATTCGAAGTTTCGCGAAGTCGAAGGAGTCCCGGGAACTCCAAGTCTGTAGCTGAGGGATAGTCAGAATTTTTCACTAATCTGAATATAATAGTTATTGACGCCACAAATTTTACCACGTGTGTCGTACATTATTTTTGAAGCAGTCTTACTTTCATTTATACACGTTGGTATTTTGTTTTCTTTGTTGCATTCACAAGATTAACTGAATAATTGAGTGTCGTTTTCTTTTTAGCACTAGTGTTAGAATTGAACTTTTAAGACACTATGAAAGAACAGATTTTACTAGTGGCAGTCTAAAATATATATTTTATTTTTACATTCTTGTTTATTTTTACTTTCACACTTAAAAAGTAACTTCTTGAGAAGAGAAAGTCTTGTAATACGAATTTTCGGCAGAAAACCACTTAGTGCACGGCCCTGGCAACGAAAAAGTGGATACATCCATATGCTAAATGTTAAAAAATTCCTCCAACACATAGTGTAGCCAGAATCCCTGTTTTGTGAGTCATAGATACCGAAAAATCGATTGACGGCAAAACGTGTGTCCGTCTGTCTGTGAACAACGCTAACCGCTAAACTTGTGATTTACTCCAAATTTTATATTTCCTGATTCATGTGTCTGACGGCGCGGCCCCTTGAATTTGAAACCGATATTTTAATTTTGGGAGACATTACATGAAGCCCTTGAGATATTTTGAAAATTTTTCAAAAAATGACGCAATCGATTATGATTACATTTTCTTGGTGAATAGTCTGAAGGACGTTTAAGAAAATGCCGCAGGTATCTAGGTTAAAAACCCAATTATTCGAAAATTGAACCACATCGAAATATTTTTCGGGGTCCTTCTACAACTAAAATATTAAAGATAGAGATTTTTCCCTCAATAAAATATGTTCCTTAAAGATAGATTTTAAAATAAGGTCATCTACAGTTTTTCGAAAATTTGATTATTTTTCGCACTACATTTCGTGAAATAGAGGCAATTTTTATTTTCCTGTATACGTACGTATATACGGAGAAATATACGCAGTCTATAGAAATGTTGTGAAATATATAATGCTGCAGAAAATCGATTTCGAGATTTCTACGGAAATACGTTATTTGGAGGTCCCCTGTTACCGAAAAAGTGTTGTTTGTTTTCAAACGCCCGTCTGTGAACACCACTAGGGACTAAATCATACGTGGGATTTTTTCCAAATTGAAGAAGCTCCTGACCATCTGGCTCAAGTCGAATCTTTGAAATTTTGACAAAATTCTATAAAATATCGTGGTACTTTAAATGTGGCATCCAGGACATTTTCAAAGTTTTCTCAAAAAGGAATTCATTTTTTCCTTTGAATTTCTGCTAAGAATAGAATAAAATACACTTATAAAGAGGGCAGAGGTCCAATTTTCAGGTTTAAGTATGAATTTTCGAAAATTCTGTAATTTTTTGGGCGGCTTCCTACAACTACAAAACTGAAGATATACATTTTTCCTTGAAATGAACTTTGTTCTCCATTGTTATGTTCTTATGTCTTGTTAAGTTATAATGTCATTTAATTTTTGAACTTTTTAGCGGGTTTCGCTCAATATTGCGTGCAATATGAGCAATTAAAAAAATGAAAATAAGATTTTCTCAAAACGGTTCCAAGTGTTTTCAAAAATTACAAATATGTAATTTTTTGGATTGGACCCTCATGTCGTTAATATTTATACTAGCGGCAATTTGTTCACATTCTTCTACTTACGAGTACATCTGCTTTAAATAATGCTATACAAAATTTGTGGAAAACTCAACCGTTTTTGGTGAAAACTAGTTCAAAATTCCGCATACTCAGAAACGCTCAAGCGTAGAGCAATATGAAAAGACAAACAGAATCAAATTGACATCTAATAAATTTATAAATAAGTAAACTGAATCAATAAAATTTGGCAAAAAATAAAATTATGTAAGTACAATGGACGTTAACTATGTCTAATGACCTTGGGCGACTAAATGCTCTAAGACCCGCGGGCGTTTTGTACCCCCTCGTTCATTAGAACCCTTAAAACGCACTTGGTGGATAAATAACTATTTATTTCTTGACTTGTAGATAATATTTACAACGTTAACAATTGATATACTGAATTACTTTCATATAATAGAAATACAGAAAATGAGTAGAAGCTACATGTTTGAATATGTATCATTGGCTTCTGGGGATAGGGGGATTCGAGGCTCATGAGCCCATCTTTTTGTGCGCCACTGGTACACGGAAAATTCACGTGAACAAAGGCGTGAGCGGCTCGCGAAGCCTGCCTACCTGCAGCTTGGCCAAGTTCCTGATGACGGGCTCCAGGTTGATGTGGTCGAGCGGGATGTCGTGCCGCGGCACGCACGGGTCGGGCACCTCGGGCGGCGCCTCGTCCGGCGTGGGCGGCGTGAGCGGGCGCGGCTGGGGCACCTCCGGCGCCGGGGGCTCCTCGTCCTTCTTCTTGCCCTTGCCCGCCGATTCAGGCCGCTTCTTCTTCTTCTTCTTGCCCTCGCCCTCCGGCGGCTCCGGCTCCGGAGGCCTCGGCGCAGGCGTCACTTCCACGATTTCCTCCTCGTCCGCCAACTTCTTCCTCTCCGCCTGCCAACACGGTTGCACGACATACCTCCGGCAAAACAGCACGTTACTGGTTCGGCGACCCACAGCAGAACGATTCAAAATCCACCGTACAACGGTGCGAGTGGTAGATAAGTGTCGGATAGGCATCGCACTATCGCTACTCTCATCAACTATCAGATATTACAGGGGTTATTGTTTCTGTAACACCACATCGTCTACATCAGTACCAATTTTGCTACGAAATTCATTGTATGAACTGTATATGTATATGCTTCTCGGCTACAATAAATGGGCAATATTTCCACTAGTCACATCATCACCGCCCTCGTGGTTTAGCTCATTGATCAGTGTGCTCGCTTTCCATGCCGCAACCCCGGGTTCGATTTAGGGAAGATTATAGTGTGAGTTTTCCTTGCAATGTCCCAGTAAATGTTGCTGTGTGATGATGAGAAAACTAACTTGGTTGAGAAGACCAGAATAAAGCGCGAGGATGTCTTCGTCCTAACCACATCTACCTCTAACGTACACTACCTCGAAGCCGCGAGGCCGGGACGCTGCTGGTAGGCCCTGGCTCGGTCGTGGGCTGTCGCGCCAAGTTCAGACAGACGCCATTATCTCCATTTAGTATAACCAATTCTCTCGACATCCTTCTGTTATTGAAAGATTTAGTGGCTAGTTAATATAATTTTAATTCATTAAACGTTTTAACTTATTAGTTAATATCAATGATTGATATTAATATTGCAATTATATAATTAATAGTCATAATTCATAATAATTATAATGCCGATCTAATGGCCGAGATCGCTAAGGCATTAGTGCAGTGTTGGTCTCGCAACGCGGGTGCGAGTTCTCGGACACGGTTGTGTGTGTGTGTGTCTGTTCACGCTTGTCTACCTCATCATTCATCATCATCATTTCATCCCATCCCGGCTAACGATCCTAACTGTGGTATAGAAATGGAATTAGCATTAAAATGCTGATTCCTCCAATAGAAAAGTAACGGGCACCTACCCCAATAATCAAGTCTGGCGGTGGGATGCACGTATCGCGTGGCCCCATGATGGCCGATTCGTGAAACAAAAGAATAACAACTATAATAATAATAATAATAATAATAATAATAATAATAATAAGCCTAAATCGCTAAGGCAGTAGGGTCGTGGAGATCATGGATCGAAGCATTGAGTCCAGCCTCGGGCATGATTGTGTTTGTGTGTCTCTGTTTGTGATTATCCATTACATCTTTTATCATTATTATAATTTCACCCATCTCCTAGGCTTAACAAACCTGGGTGTAAAAACGGAATCAGCGTGAAAATGATGATCCCCCCCATAAAAGTCACGTGCACCTACTCTCGAGGAATATAACTTTGTGTATTAATAATAATAATAATAATAATAATAATAATAATAATAATAATAATAAACAATTAATAATATGTATTATGAAAAATGTCAAGTCAACTGAGACTTTTCAGATTGCATGGCGTGTAAGTTGCCAATATATTCGTTTTTCCATTATATTACACGTTTATTTTAATGTTCATTTTGAAGTTTTTGTTTCTAATACTCTCCCTTCTCCGTTCAATTACATTCGGCGAAGAGGTTTCCAGAAGTTACCGACTGTACGGAGTTCCTTTAGCAAGGCGCACCTTCAACTCGGCGTTGGCGACGGCGTCCAGCTCTTGCTGCGACTTGATGAGCTGCAGCTCGCGCAGCCGCAGGCGGTGTACGTAGGGCGACAGCAACTTCATGAGATTCTTTATCTCCACCAGCTTGTAGTCCTCCACCGGGAGCTTCTCCAGGTGCTGCTGCAAATAGCGCTCCAGGTACATGCGCTTCCAGCTGTCCCCGTAGTCCTGCACGAAGTTCATCTGTCGGGGCAAAGAAATGTCGGAATTTTAATTACAAATTGTGGGGATGCATACATATCAAGGTTTTGAAGGTGTTTTCGTCTTTAGAAAGTAGTAGAATTCCAGACAGACTTTATCTCAGAACAACAATATCCTCTATGCATGGCAGGTTTAAAATGTCGATTAAGGGGAACAACAGTATTTCATCAACAAGTCCATGTTTATAGTTTTTTAGTATATTAACCGCAAAAAGAAAAGAACACTCAAGAAATCAACAAACATATGGAAGTATTGTGTTCTTATTGATGGCAGAGGTGAGAAATCTCGCTCTGCTGGAAATCGGCCAATTCAGATACATTACTGCCTGGAGTACTACGGCCAGTAAACTTGTGAGTGCCAATAAGTATCCTTGTTTCACTCACAGAGTCCCATTTCTCCTCGCAGCAGCGTTGCCAGTAGATTCCGTCTGGCACCTTCAGCACTGTCAACTCCAGCGGCAACTCCGTCGACAGAATTTCTAGCAGCTGGTCGCGGTTGCATGGCGGCAGCTCGTCGAGGATAGGATTCTCTAAACAGGTGCGTGCGCACTTGGTTGAAGTTATGGTGAAATGAATGCTTGGCCAAGAAATGGGGTAAAGGAAGTTCTAACAATTTATAGCTTTCTTTCCTACGATGATCACCATGGTCTACGACAAAATCACTTTCACATCATAACGATAATATTTTTCATGTGAAAAATATATTTTGCATGATTAAGCAATCCCCGCATTAAACTATTTTTTAAACAAACGATTGATACATTTTCATTATTAAATATCGTGATTTGATGGTATCAAATATGATCCTTATACCGCTTTCAAATGAAACATTATTTGAAAGAAAATTTAGAAAATTGAATTTTCATTTTTTAAAGGCGAATTTTCTTTTCATCTCCTTCCGAATGAGCTCCTGCCTCCAATTCAAAACTATATATCAGAATATACTAAAAACTTTATAGATAGATGTGTTTAAAATTATGAAAGTGATAAAAAATAGGTAGAAACAAAACAAAAAATATAATACCCCCAACTTGAAAGAAAGGAGTACAAATTGTTGAAAAAAATCACAATGAAGCTGTAAATGAACTGCACTGGCAACGGTTTCTAAACGTCAAAAAGTCAAACCAAGAGGAATGTGTTTCGTTTAGTAGTAGAAAAATAATTCATAATGTTGATTTAGCATAATTGTAACAATATGTTTTAAAAATGTATTTTTTGCATTTCGTATACAGAGAACTTTCATTTTGTGTAATGAAACTGTAATTAATTAAGCTAATCAGGACGTGCCCATTTGCATTATACAAGACCAATGAACAAATACTTAGTTGACCCCTTGCTTTGCGTCTGATTTGTAAGCAACCCCGCCTCCCCGACACTCACTTTCGAAGTTCTGCGCTATGGTCAGCACGCACCAGTACACGAGACTGGGCGGCACCACGGCGCCTTCGCCCTCGGCGGTGTCCCATCCGAAGTTCTCGGCGCGCACCGTGCGGGCCTCCTCGCCGCCCTTCAACTGGCCCGCCTCCGCACTGGGCTCGTACACCCGCAGCACGGCCTCGGGGATGGTGTGTGGGATGCGCATGGCGGAGGCGGCAGCGGCTCCTGCGAAACCACCGACCTACCTCAGCCGGGGCCCTTCATCCAATGAGCAAAGCAGTTGGCCACTTACTTCGCTTAAGCTTCGCTGTGCATACGTTTTGTTGAGCTCTCCTTTTGCTACTAGCCCGAAGAGTACAACAATTGCGACTTTGTCTGTAATACTACGAAATCACACCTGTACTTCGTTTGCCAATGCAAATACTTTTTCTATTACTAGGTCACCAAAATGTCTAGTTTTCAAATATTGGCTATCATGCTTCTTACTCCTGTATACATAAATTAACTACGTACTATTGCAAGAGAGAGTAAGGTGGTGGTTCTGGAGCTCAAGCAAACATCCGCAGAGTATACCTCTTCCCCACACGTAACATATAATATCTAATGCTTTCGTCGAGAAATAAATCAAGACAAACCATCTTGAATTAGAACGGTTAATCATCGTTGTCAAGGCGAAGTTCGGAATGGCTACGTATTTCTTTCTCCGCGGGGAGGTCGTAGTAAATGGGATACCCTGAAAGTAAGGTTAGAAAACGCATAGCTCTGGCAGGAATATGTATTTTTTGCAGATGGTAATACTGTTGAATAGGACCAAATTAGCTGAGCAACATAGCTGAAGTGAACAAGTGACAAAGGACGTCTGCAGCGTCTCTACTTTCGTTGTGGTGACTGTTAAAGAGAGCACTCTCATTCCCCCTCCCGCCTAGTGCGAAGTACGCGTTGATATGCTTCTTTAACGCTAAGGAGAAGAACGCTACTACCATCCATCGTTTCAGTTGACGGGGATTCATTTATTGTCACGGCAAAATGGGACAACGTGAGCATAGAATTTCAATTTTTCTTACACATGTACACACCTTCAAAGTAAACGCTGCAAGATGTTGCCGAAGGAAGTCTGTCTCCTAAATGACAATGCTTGTGTACATTGCGCTTGGACAACGCCAAAGTTATTTGATTGGAATGCTTAAAATTACCCTTCTCACAGTTCCGATCTCCCATCTAGTGACTACCGTAGATTCTCTAAAGACGCATCTGAGTGGGAATGTCGGCGAGGTAAAAGTCGAAGTGTAGAAGTGGCGCAAGGAGTTACTGCGCTCTTCTCTACAATGCAGGAAAGTCACAAGTTTTCCCACGGTTGACAAAATGTATTGAAGTAAATGGTGATTATTTTAAACTATTGGTGTTACATGAGTTCATACTTTACTATTTCTAAGTGGTCTGCTGCTAATAAACTGTTATAAACTTGCAAAAGTATTTTCAACCACCAAAATTATTTTCCGCACCGAGACTCTACGATCCGAGTTAACTTGCTGTCAGCCATACTATCAGCGCCTTAACAATCGAACTCGGGTCCAACCCTTTAAATGTAATCGCCTCAACCCAAAATTTTTCCAACACGCAATTTTTGAAAAAGAGGAGGAATTGTCAAAAATGGGACTTGCGCCATATTTTTACGGTCCTTTGTTACATACGAAAAGAATTTACTTTTTTTACATTATAGTATAGAGAAAGTTATATAATGCTTTTCTTTTAAAATTTATATATATATATATATATATATATATATATATATATATATATATATATATATATATAAATAATGTGTGTGTATACATACATTGTATATTCGTGGTAAACGTTGAAAATGGCCACTTTATGCTACTTTCAAAATGTTTCTCAACACTTCTTGCTCTCCATGTATCACTTTTCAACCGCAGTACAAGTGTTGTGGTCACGGGTTCGTGACGCAAATTGGAACTGCGCAACTGGATTTATCCACTTTTTCCTTGCCAGGGCCGGCATTAAGAGTTTTTGTGTGAAAAATTCGCCGTTTTTCGGCGTTATTACAATACTTTTTCTTCTTACGTTAGTAAGTGAGAGAAAGTAAACAAGTGGTGTTACAGACTGGACAGACTTTCCCATATTAGTTTTCGATTTCCCTTGATCTCAGACTTAGCATATAATCTTGCCAGCTACCATCTATCGCTGCCCAAAGTACATTTTTTTAAAATTTTCTTAATTTTGGCTTTCTAATACTACTAGAACGGAAATATTATTTTAAGAATTTTAAAGAACCCCAAAACCTCGTCCTAAATGACAATTGTCTTTTAAAAATTCGATGCCGTTTTTAAGAAAATGGCATTTAAGCGCTACTGTAAATTCGACATTAGAACATCTTTTCACAGAAAACTATTAAACTATTGGTTTCGAAAAACATCATATGATTTAATTCAAGCACTTCCAGTCACAAATACAACGGTGTTTACAAATTGCTGGAAATGTGCATATTAAAGGCGTGAGAGATCTTTGAAAAAAATAACAATTGTATGATTTTCGAAAAAAAATAATACAACAAAATTAATTCATTGTTATCTTAAACAGTACCACTAGCACAATATGTTGGAAGAGTTTGAAGAAAAAATGTAGAGCAGCTTTTGAGAAAATGTCGTTTTAGCGTTTCTGAAAATGCGGAATTTGAGCTCATTTAAACGGAAAGCTGTTGAGTTTTCGAGAAACTATCTGACATTATTTAAAGCAAATGAATTCATTAATATATTAATGTAAACAAATTGTCGGAAATGTAAATATTAACGACGTGAGAAAAAAGTAAAAAAACGTTTTCGAGAAAAACAAAAGAATAGAGCAACATAGCATTTATGTTATTTTATTGATTGAATTTATTACTATCCCTACCAAAAGTGTAAAGGAAAAATTTGGAGATGTTTTTGAAAAAATCTTGTTTTTTTAATTTTTTAAAATCACAAATATTGCACGTAATATTGCTCAAAATCTACTAAAACTTTCAAATATATGAACTTGACCTTAATGAAAGAACTCACAATGGACAACAAATTGAATTAAAGGAAAGACCTCTTTCTTCAATTTTGTAGTTGTAGGATGACGCCCCCCAAAAAAATTATAATTTTCAAAAATTGAAAGTTAAACCTGATAATTGGACCTATGCCACCTTTATAAGCGTTTTTATTATATTCTTACAAGAAATTTAAAGAAAAATTTTGAGCTGGTTTTGAGAAAATTGTGAAAATGTCCGTGGGGCTTCATGTAAAGTACGCCCAAATTTTAAAGATTTTTTTCAAAATCTCAAAGATTCGACTCGAGCCAGATGGACATGAGTTTCTTCAATTTGTTAAAAATCCTATGTGTGGTTTAGCCTCTAGTAGTGTCCACAGATGGACAGACGGATGTTTTGAAAAAAATAACTTTTTTCGGTATTAGTGGACCACAAAACATGTATTTCCGTGAAAATCTCAAAATCAATTTTACGCAGTATTACATAACTTTCCCTTACTACGTATATTACTCCGTCTATACGTACGTATACGTGAAAGTAAAAATGAATACAGAGATTTTAATTTCAAGTATACTTTCTCCAAATTTAGTTTTTTCATTATGATCATGTACTTTTGTTTAAAAATGATAGTAGTATGTGCAATTTGAAACTATAACAAAAACAATATTTACTCATAAACAGCTCAATTTTTTTGGTTTAACGTTTGCTAGGGACGAAGCTGAATGTTCTCTATTAGATGACAAAAACGTCATTTTGCTCCATTCTTTTGTTTTCCCAAAAATTATCAAATTTAATTTTTGTGACTAGCCTCTCACGTTTTTAAAATTTATATTAGCAGCGTTTTGTGAACATTATTGAATTTAAGAATACATGTGTTTTAATTAATATCACATAAAATTTCTTGAAAACTCACAAGTTATCTGTGAAAAAAGTTTCAAATTTTGTATTTACAGTAACACTTAATCACCATATTCTTAAAAACAGACCCATATTTTTAAACGAAAATTTTCATAAAGGACGGGGTTTTACTCTTCTATTATATTTTAAAGTAATTTTTCGTTTCTGTCATTAATAAACCGAAAAATTGAGCAAAGGTGAAAAAATATTTTGGCGGAGGTAGATGGCAGCTGGAATGAGGATGGGGCATGTCCGGAACCTAGACCTGGCAAAAAAAAATCTGTAGCACCACTATTTTCCTTATTAATATTACTACACGCTGTCTGCTCCAGATACCTTATGTGAATACGTGCGATGTTCTCACAGTCCGACGCGCCTGTTTCATTTACCTCAGTGACAGGAAATGCGCTTCAGCGGCTGACATCATTTTCATCTCTAAGGGTAAAAAGTACCACTGACGCCGCGGATCGTGACCTTTAACCTTGATTGGAGAAACATGGCGATCACCGACGTTTAACATTTAATGAGTTCTTCACGCGGCAGTGACTTCACGCGGCAGTGAGCTGGTCGTAAATATTTCCTGTTTGTACGATGAATGATGTTAATATATTTATTGCGTTTAGTCAGGCTGCACAACTACGGACCTGGACAGCAATAGATAAAGCTTCTACTACTGACGGAAAAGTTATATGGTGCAAAGTATGCATTAACTTGCGCTCTTCTAATGATTTTAAGACAATTATATTATTTTTTAAATTTATTCAGAACATATTTTATAATGTAAGTTTGTATTATGTAAATGTGTTTTATAATTAGTGAATTTCAATATTACATACTATATTCGATTTTACATATTTATCACATATTCTTACTGTTTTGATTACATATTTATCTACATATTTTGACATTTCATACTACATATTTTTCCAGTTTCTAACCGTTAAAAAACAACGGAGAAAAACAATTTTGTTAAATTAGAAAAATGCACATATCACAAATAAATATTAGGCAACCATTTGAAAATTTATGGATATCTGAAATATTCCCAAAATTTAAAATTAAATATTCCCGTGTATACTTACAAGGAAGCATGTATACTCCTCCATGTCAGATGACAGTAAAAGGCAGTTGCGTTGAAAATTACAATAGCCCGCCATTCCTTCTTAATATAAAACTCAAGCTAATTTTAACTACACGTGGAAATAAGAGGATAGAAATGATACTTA